CAACTATGGGATGACTTATTCATTTATATTGATTTAATTTACCATGTTAAAGCTAACAATCAAAATTGCATTTTTGTTGAACATTGTTCAATATTTGAAAGTGTCAGTAGTAGATTTTTGATTACTAATCAGCGTAGAAAATGATCAGGCTTCTTGCCACGTTTGTGCCAGCAGCACATTCTGATCAATCTCAGTTTACACAGTTTTTTAAATAGAAGTCTTTTAGTTTTGAGTAAAATATTTTACTTTATATACGCTGTAAGGGGTGTCCTGTGTTGAAACTCTTTTTCCTTATTCATGTCTAAAGGATAAAGCATAGTTTAATACACGCCAGAGCACCACTAACGGGGTCATGGGGGAGAAATACCCCATCCCTCCCACCCAACAAATTAACTGGTCCACCTGGCCAGATTGTTTTATATTCATAATGTTTGTTAGCAAAATATCTCCTAAATATCTGAATAGATTRTAATGAGACTCAGAAAGTATTGCTGATTTTGCATCTACATATATTGGAGTCAATCCACAGCTGATTGACTTTAGTAGTCACAGAATTGTCAGTTTTGTAGATCTTGTTCTAAAATGTTGTGTGGTTGTAGCTCATTGTCATCAGCAACAAATACTTTGAGCGCTAACAGCTTGTGTGATCTTTTTTGTTTGCCAGCTTACAGTATAATGGCTTTAAAAAGGAAGAGGACAGTGTTGACTGGGCTGTTTTTATATAGTAATAACTGTAAAGAAAAAAAACAAAAAACAAAAAACGAAACCAAAGTAAGCCCATATCAGAAAACAACCCCCAGCTCCCATATTGCAGTATTTTTCAGATAGCCTATATATGACAACAGGATAATAAAACTCTGAAGTTCTGTTATTACTTCTGGTTTTGGAGTGGCACCTCAAGATTAAGACTGGACCCCATCTGGCCATCCCTCTGAAAACCTTCTGAAGGTACCCCTGGGTACATGTAAAGTGCTAAAGAAATATTACTCATTACAATCTCTTCTTCTTTACCCGTCAAGTACACTTGCGTAGCGAAACCCTTTCCTTGACCTCTGAGAGACGTTCACTGTTTGGACATGTAGAGCTCCTGTTTTCCTGTTTATACTGGACTCACTGATGAGTCCAAACAGACATAACATTTAGACTTTCCCCAAACAGTTTGAAACTTTTATCTGTCTAAAGAGCACATTGGGTTGCATCTCATTTTCTTTCTAATGTTTCTGGAATTTTATGGTTTGTGACGTTGACCGCAAACTCGTGTTCTCATTTCATTTCCACACGAAAATCAATTAACAGTTTCATTTACAGTTATAGTCATTAGATTTTGATGTAACTCTTGTTTTATTTGCTGCTGGTGGTTGAACTTGATGCATGATTTGGTTTCTTTTCATGATCGCAGCTGATTTTGTGAGTTGGTTCAGGTTTGTTATTAACAAAGAACACATCTGGACTTCAGTCACGGACCGTTATCCWAAACATATTCAGAAAATATCAGTGAAGCAACTCTGAAATGCAGGTCCTGGAAGTATAAAAACAAACAGGAAGAAATTGAATGCATAAAAAAATGCATGCAGTCTGTCAGCGTACGTTTTTCACCTGATTGGCTCCACACATCACACATGGGTGCACAGAAACAAATAAACAGAGCTGCCCCAGCACCCCTACTCCCATCCCTTCAGTGCCCAGCCCCACTTGGCCCAGTGCTGTTTATGGGCAGGGAGTGGTTGTTGAGAGCCTGGAGTCAGCAGAACTGCCCTGATCGATGACAGCATTTGCTGTTCCTTTCCAGTAAGAGCTTTAAACCTGCGACGAAGCGAGAGCTTCTTATATGTTCGTGTCTGCTGCCTCTGAGGCAACTCACTTTTTATTTTTYTCACAGTGAAAAAAACCTGCCAGGACAGAGGTGTGCAGATGATTATTAAGGCAGTGACGTCAGCAAAGGAAAACAATGTTACAAATCCTTGCTGCCTCTGAATATGTCTGGTTTTCTAAACAAGTTCACCACACTCTTTTTATTTTTGTTTATTATATAGTTAACTGACTAATTAAGTGTGTTTTACCAACAGTAGTGCCTAAAGTTTTCTCAAACTCTTTTTTTCACCTGGATTTCAGGATCTGTTGCATCTGATGCAATATTGCTCTGTGACTTAGAGGAGAGCTTCCTTAGCTCCTTCTTCTTTAAAATTAGACTTTTTTAATACCTAGTTGCACATTGCAAATTCAAATATGATCAAACTCATCGGGAGATATGGAGCCCACGAGGGGACATGGGGGATTTTTTTCTTTTGCGTTCCCACGCAATACTATTGCGTTCCCTCGAAGTGTTTGCTCGAAAAAGCTGGTTATTACTGTTGTGCGCACTGGTTTAGTTGCCAGCCTACTACTTTAATTCAACTTCAGAATGAATGTATCACAGCCATACATGGAGATATTWAATYTGCAGGTATTTTAACTTTGTGTAGCCACAAAATATCACTGTCAATTTCCCYAACTTGTGGCGACACATTCTGTTTAGGTAACCGTATATTTCAAAATAAAATTCTGATTTAAAARCTAAACCTTTTGCATGGGAATGCAAAATGATATTGCGAGGGAATGCAAACATTTGCTTGGGAACGGCTGCAAAAAGCTTTGCAAGGTATACGCAAAGGTATTGCGTGGGAATGCAAAAGAAAAAAAATCCCCCCATGTCTCCTTGCGGGCTCTGTAAGGAGATGAGTTGTTTATGCACTCATAAAAATTAAGTGGATTTACTTAACTAAGTTATGTCAACTGGTTCTACTAAAGAGAGCTGAGTAAKTGTAAATCAATTTACTCATTTTCTTTAGAAGAAAATGTATAAATTGCTCAATTTACTCAACTCYGTTTAATGCAACCAACCAGGTTATGCAAATTCAACGCATCATTTCTTAAAAGTAATTTTACTTTTCTAACTTTAGAATGAATGTATGATTTTAATGAGCAGTTTTCTGACTTTTATTTAAGTAATGTTCTCATCTGTGAAATGAATTTTTACCAGTCATTTTCTGTTAAGGTATTATTACTTTTACTTAGTTATTTCTTTCAAGTGCTTACCTTTGCCAAATTCTGTATGTACCTTAAAATAACTACAGTGTATCTAATGTCTTAATATCTCCTTTTCTCTCTTCTCTCCACAGACTTTTATAGTCCTAAACAAAGGGAAAACAATCTTCCGCTTCAGTGCCACGCCTTCCTTGTACATCATAAGCCCTTTTAATCCATTTAGGCGGATAGCTATAAAGATTTTGATACATTCATATCCTTTGAAATTATATATTTTCTGCAATTTACGCTTAATTAAAATGGATGGGGAGAAAAACATTTGACAAGAAATGTGAAACTTGCAGTAGTTTTCAGACTTGAAATGAGGAACGCAATGAAGAATTATTCTGTAACTTTTGTTTTTTTAATTTCAATTAATATACAGGTATTTAAAAGCATTTCTATTTATTTTAGTTATTTATGAACTTATTAATTCTAATCTAAATCGACACAGAAGCCACATTATATTAGGAACCTAATGATGAAATATTTTTATTGGTCCATTTTGACCTATTTCTCTTAGAATTTGTTGATTATTATATTATTTTGTTAACAAGCAATTCATTTTATCTTATTTCAAGTGTGACAGGTGTGTTAGAATTTGTTTTTTATGGTTATTGCCTCCTACCGTACTCTTTTAAAGTGTCTGTGACATACATATTCTTAAAATACAAAAAGTTAAAGAAAACATCTTTATACTTAAGAAAATTGACAAAGTCCAGATGATTTTATCCATTTTATCACATAACTGTCAAATTTGTTTTGAACTAGGCTCAGCCAAAGTGAAACAGGAAGTGACATCAAAGGGGAACTCTTTAAGTAAAGCCACTCCCTGATCTTTATTTATTGAAACATTATCATCTCTCTGACAGTGACTCAAAATAAAGAAACATCAGATTCTTCTCTGCTTCCTGTGTTGTTGGCCATTGTTGTCTCATTCTGTTCATGTTCAGATATTCCCCTTTGACATCACTTCCTGTTACTTGACGTGCAAATATCTCAACAGCTGTTCATCTCGCTGGTTTGATATATTTTGTTTCTTTTTGCAACATGTTATCAATATTATCTTTTTAAAAACTACAATCATATTTGTTATAAAAGTTTCATGTCACAGGCACTTTAATTTTCATTAGAATTAATGTATAAGTTGTCAAGAGTCACGTGGTTCAAACTTCCCTTAACTCCTTTCGTCACGTTATTCAGCATGATCATCATGTGCACCATTTTGACCAACTGTATATTCATGACATTCAGTGATCCACCAGAGTGGTCCAAACAAGTAGAGTAAGTACCTCAGCAACCATGTCTTCATTTGGTTTTTTGCTCTTCGCTCTCTTACACTTTGTTTTGTTTTTAAAGGTATACCTTCACAGGTATCTATACATTTGAGTCGCTCACAAAAATTGTTGCCCGAGGATTTGCCATCGACAACTTCACCTTTCTCAGAGACCCATGGAACTGGCTGGACTTCATGGTCATTTCYATGGCGTAAGTACTTCAGTGTGTTGTTTCCTGCAAGCATTCAGCACCCCCTTCATCTACATGGACTGACTATATTTAAAGGAGACAATATATTTTGTTGTGTACTTGGAGTCWCRAAAAGTGCAGAAAATTTGAATTCAGTCTCCTGGTGCTGCAAAGATAACTATTTCAAACCTCAACTGCAGTAAAGCAGCAGTTCCACCAATAAAACTATGTTTGGGTCTGGAAATATGTCCTAACTTCCAGATGAGGAACAATTACATTCATAAGATCTCAGTTCTAATGCTCCTCTGTGTTCTGGCTTTTCTTTACTGCCTTTGCTGATTTTTCAAACTAAGCTTGTCTGAAAATGACACATTTATGGGACTTTTACCAAAACAAATGACCTCTAGAGGCTTTAATCCACATCATTCAGTCCCATCATGTTGATTAAAATATGATGTAAGAAACTTTTGTCTTCCTCCTGTGACCAGGACGACTCCTGAGTGACTGTATCTGATCCACCTTGCAGGTATATAACAGAGTTTGTAAACCTAGGCAATGTGTCAGCTCTGCGTACGTTCAGGGTTCTGAGGGCTTTGAAAACTATTTCAGTTATCCCAGGTAAGACAGGTGTCTGTGCTGGCGGCGGGGGCGGGCGATCCAAAGAGGGTGGGGGTTGATGTTAGTCGTGGTCGTGTTTCAGTCCCTCTTCCCCTTCCTCCTTCGTCCTCTTCCTCACCGGTCGGACAGGTGTTCTCTCTCCCCACAGTGGTGTCCCCCTCCTGGTCTTCAATGGTGGTGCTGGTGTCGTGCTGTTATTGTGTGTGTTGCGTATCATGTGGTTCTGTTCTGTGTGTCATCCTACCTTGTTACAGATATATAACAGAGTTTGTGGACCTTGGGAATGTCTCGGCGCTGAGAACGTTCAGGGTTCTCCGAGCTTTGAAAACTATTTCTGTCATTCCAGGTGAGACTCCCATTTAAACACTAAGGCTGAGCTCAATTTTATTTTTTACGTCACTCTCTACCACTTTCTTTGGAGATGGTAGGTTTGTCTTCCCCAAAACTTCTTTTGTTTTCGTATAATAAAAAATGGTACAAACACATTTTGTTAGGCTTAGCAGTCTGCTGGCAGCATTATGTTAAATACAACAGCTGCTATCTGTAAATAGGTTTTTCTTTCTGAAGTAGCCTAGAAATTCATGTGCAAAATATTGTAATGACTTTAATATTTCCTAGAAGTTGACTTTTAGGAGGTCAGTGAGTTTTAAAATCTGTATCATCTTTGCACATTTGGTTTACCTCCATTTTTTACTCCAAATTCCTGTGACTTTAAAATACCTTTAATTAGACTGCCAAGCCTAATCTGATAAAACATTAATGCTGCATGAAGCTTTGAGAGATGCTGTCCAAGTTTGGCTTTAAGAAGCTTTCTTTTTTTTTTTCATTTATTTCATTTTTTAGTGTAAAAAGTTAAAAGATGTAGGTTCAATTTATCTACTCATCCTGGATCTGATCGTTAAATAAATGAATAWATGAGTGTAACCCTGAGCAGTGCTGTGCGTGTACCAGTCAGTAGTTTTACAAAGAAACATAAAACATATAATTACTGCTCCTGTAGCGTTCTACGTTTGTTTTACTGCACTTTTTTCTTTACCCTGCCTTCCAGCAGCAAGTTGTCACCTATTTGTTTAATTAAACTGAACAAATATCATTCTCAATATTACATGTGTAGCTAAACAATCCACATCAGAAGAACTTTAAAAGAYCATTTAACAGCTGTTTTTTTTCTTACTTTTTTGTTTCAAACATTCTTTTCAGCTTAGTTTTGTTTTGCACACTTTTCACTGCTTTGAAACTACTTAAMTAGGGTTACAAAAATATCTGGTTAAAGTCTTGAAAAATACATGTWATGGGGTAAAATACTTTGCTTTTTCAACACTATTGATGATGTGAGTGGATGGTAACACCTTGCTGAATCTCCCTCTACGTGCAAGAAGAATCTAAAAGAGTGTAAAAAACTGAACTAGTRGCTTCTTTCACTGTATACACACATCTTTATGTGTTTAAAATATAATACATACCCAATACATCCAGCACTATAAAAACATGGACAAATAAGTGCTCAGGARAGGAACTTTTATTTTGAGCTGTGTCATCAACACATATAGAGTTGATGCTGATTCAGTCATTTCTTTCAGCCTTGGCGTTTAAATGATCTGCATGGCCCCTCTCATGAACCCCAAACTCCACCCCTTCAGGCCCCAAACCCTCCTTGCATGTTGTCTTTTCTCTTCTGTATTTCCTGCACTGATTGATTTTRGTGCTGCTGGGTTTGAATGATTTGTTGAATCCAGTATAACTGTTATCTGAAGCTAGTTGGAGATGTTTCCATAAAACATGTTTCCTCTTCAGAATGGTCCTATGTTCAGGTGGAGAGGCYAATGTCGACCCTCATGGCAAAACARAAAACACTGYCTTCTAATTTATTTGATCTGTTTATGTCCACGTGATTCATTCATGTTAAATAAAAACAAACAAAATGTGATTTATTGTCTTCTGATGGAAACATCTGTACAGCTTCAGTACAAATACTGAACTTACTAAATGGCTCACTTCAAATAACACTTRTGCTTCCTTGTAACCATATTCTTTTCTATTAGGTAATTTTTACTAAATTACTTTTCATAAACCTTTCATTTTATTGAGATAATATTTAAATGATAAATCAGCTGCTTTTTACTTAAATCTCACCAATCAAATAGGCTTGCACTAGATCAGGGATAGGCAGTCCTGGTCCTTGAGTGCCGCTGTCCTGCATGTTTTGCATGTTTCTCTGCTCCAACACACCTGATCTGAAACAAGTAAAACATGCAGGACAGCGGCACTTGAGGACCAGGATTATCTACCCCTGGACCAGATCAACACTCAGAGTTTAACAATATCTGAATTTCTTAAGAAAT